TCCGCGAGTTGCAGAGGTTCATTGTAGTTAAACGCGCGTGGGGACAAGTCAGCAAATCCAGCCCGTAGCTCGATCAGATCGATGACGCGAATCGGTTGTTCAGGTTGCCAGGCGTTATCCCATAGCGTGGTGTCGAGATAGCTGCTGATCGGTGCGTGCAGATCAAGCAGGTCCTCTGCGGCAAGATCCAGAACGGTCAAAGCGGTGATCGTTTTAGTGATAGAGCCCCAACGCAAGACAGCCTCATGGTCACAGCCCAGGGTGATCGACGAAGGCTGCGCGGGTTGATCTTTTATCCAGCTGAGGGCCAGGCACGAGATGTTGTGACGCGCTTTAATCTGCAGCAACGCGCTGCGTAGGGTTTTTGTCTTTGCCGCGAACTGGCCAGCATTCGGCTCGGATGCAACTGGGTTTGGAGCCGCGACAGCAAAAAAACTGAAAAGAGCGAGTGTCCAGAGGCTTTTATTCATCTGTTTCAGCAGACCTGTTGCGGCAGCAAGGTAAGAAAATAACATGACCTGCAGCTTAGCATTCCTCTTGCCCTTGAAGTGCTTGGTTCTTCAGTGCTCGCGCGCCATGAAGAGGGCGTAGTGTTTGCACGCAACTTTACGGTACTCTTGCTGGCTGAAATCTGATCTGTTGAATTTTTTTAGGGGGAACGTATGGAAAGAATGGCTTTAGAATTTGTCGGCAATGTGGCCGTTTTGAGGTTCAATCATCCCGAGGTGATGAATGCAGTTGGTCAACAGATGCTGGGCGATTTTGCCGAAGCGGTTGAAGCCATTAAAGACCCGGCAAACGGCGCGCGTTGTCTGCTTCTGACCGGAGAAGGTCGTGGTTTCTGTGCTGGCGCTAACCTGCAGGATGATGCAAAGCGCGAAGGCAAAGCTAAACCCGCCGGTTCTGCGCTGCGAAACTTCTATCACCCGTTGATGTTTGAACTGCGGAGTCTGGAAATGCCGATAGTGACCGCAGTCAATGGCGCGGCGGCCGGTGTCGGTATGAGTTTTGCTATGTTGGGCGATATCGTCTGTGCGTCTAAATCGGGTTTCTTTCTGCAGGCGTTTGCCCGTATTGGTCTTATTCCCGACGGTGGCTCGACGTTCATGTTGCCGCGTCTGGTTGGATGGGGACGGGCGATGGAGCTGTCCATGCTGGCCGAGCGCTTACCTGCCGAACAGGCGCATGAATGGGGTCTGGTAAATCGCTTGTTTGAAGATAACGAAGCCCTTATGACCGGCGCGATGGGCATTGCCCAGAAGCTGGCGAATGGGCCGCGTTCATTGGTGTTGATCCGCAAAGCCTACTGGCAGACCTGGCAGAATTCTTTTGAACAACAGCTTGAGTTGGAAGCGCAGCTGCAGAATGAAGCGGGTGCTTCAAGTGATTTCGGTGAAGGGGTCAAAGCATTTCTGGAAAAACGCGACGCTGCGTTTTCCGGACAATAGGGGGTTGTGATGTCTTTACAGGGACGTGTGGCGCTGGTTACCGGTGGCAGTCGAGGCGTTGGCCGCGCTATTTCTATATCGTTGGCAAAACAGGGGGCAACGGTTGCCGTCAATTATCGTCGCGATGAGGAATCAGCAGAACAAACCGTGGCTGAAATTGTTGCGGCTGGAGGAACAGCCAGAGCTTACGCCGCTTCGGTGGATGATTTTGACCAGGATGCCCAGATGGTGGCGGCCATCGAGGCGGACTTTGGTCCGATAAGCATTCTTATAAATAACGCGGGTATCGCCAGCCGCGGGCAATCTGTTGCAGATACAGATCCTGCGGAGTTACAGCGCGTGGTGGCTACGCATGCTTTTGGTCCGCACTATCTGGCGAAACTGGTACTGCCGGGTATGCGTCAGCTGGATCGTGGTGACATTGTGATGATCAGCAGCGTCGCTACGCGCTCTCTGGGTAGCCATGGTGCGCCCTACAATATGGGTAAAACCGCGATGGAAGCGCTGGCTTACACGTTAGCCAAAGAAGAGCGGCGTTATGGTATCCGGGTCAACATCGTAGCCCCAGGTTTGGTAGAAACCGATATGGGCAAACGACTGATCAAAGCCACCCAGGGTGTACAGGATATCCGCACACTGGATGACAGCATGCCGTTTGGTCGGGTTTGTCAGCCCCAGGACGTGGCCAACGTTGTCGACTTTCTGGTTTCACCCCAGAACAGCTATCTGACGGGCGAACGCTTGTACTGTGATGGTGGTGGTCCAGTGCCAACACGGGCAATGGATTAATCAGCTGCCTGGCTCGCTCTTTGCTAGCCAGGTATGTCCTGACTTAACACATTAAGGTGTGCCTCGACGCTGCGACTCAAAGCGTCGAGGTTATAGCCACCCTCTAAAGTTGCCAGTACGCGTCCACTACAGTACTGATTGGCCGCATCGACGATAAGTTTTGTTATCCAGGCGTAATCTTCCTCGAGCAGATTGATATCTGCCAACGGATCCTCTTTGTGGGCGTCAAAGCCTGCCGAAACTAAAATCAGATCTGGTTTGTGGCGCTCAAGTGCCGGTAGCCAATCCCGTTCAACCAATGCTCTGAATACGTTGCCGCCGCTGGCTGCGGCCATCGGTGTGTTGATGATGTTCTGGCGATAAACATCATAACCACGGTTGGGGTAGTGAGGATGCTGGAAGCTGGAACACACCAGCACATCTGCATTGTCCTTGAATATATCAACGGTGCCGTTGCCGTGATGAACGTCGAAATCCAGAATCGCAACCCGATCAATACTGTTCTGGGCCAGAGCGTGCAAAGCACCTATGGCGACACTGTTGAACAGGCAGAAGCCCATCGCCGCATTGATCTCGGCATGGTGTCCAGGTGGCCTGACGGCGCAGAACACACGCTTTGTTCTGCCAGCGATAAGGTCGCCAACGCCCGTGACCACTGCGCCGGCGGCTACTCGGGCTGCCTGTTCACTGCGGGTACCCATCCAGGTGTCCGGATCTACCGGCGTTAACGCAACATCATCAGTCGGAACGCTAGCATGAATAAACGCCAGGTGAGCGGCAGGGTGGGCGCGCAGGATATCCTCTTCCAGCACACTGGGTGCCTCAAGTATCGGAAACTGCTGACTGATGCCGCAGCTGTCCAGGTGCTGCAATACACGTTGCAGCCTTTCCGGTTTCTCCGGATGACCGTTGGGTACCCGGTGCTCGAGGCAGATAGGGTGGCTGTAGATGTGCATGAGCCGCGGCCTTAGACCTGGTGAGAAGGCCGGTATTCTAGCCTGATGTTTTGAACAAAATGCAGAATTTGCGTTCTGCTGGAATTATTCATCTACCTGGCGGAAAACTTCTGCGCGGGATTTTTTACAGTTGTGTGTTCAGCCAGGTAGGTATTGAAATTGTTAAGTGCCACCGGCGCTGAAAACAGGAAGCCCTGCGCGTCGCTGCAGCCGATATTTTCCAGCAGGGTGCGCTGGGATTCGGTTTCGATACCCACCGCAACACAGCGCAATTCAAAACGCTCCGCTACCTGACAGATTTGCGCAACAAGTGTTCGAACGCTATCTTCCCGTTCGATCGTCGAAAGCAGCGTGCGGTCTATTTTTAAGGTATCTGCTGGGCAGCGCAGCAGCTTCTTGGCATCAACAACGCCGACCCCCAGGTTGTCGATGGCAACCCTTACGCCCAGATCGCGCAGGTGAAACAGTGTCCGTCGATATTGGTCAACAACGTGCAGCAGGTTTTCGTGACTGAGCTCCAGCTCCAGTTGGCTGGGGTCGATATCATTGTTATTTATAAGGGCTTCCAGAAGTGTGGCGATAGCCCCTTTGTTGAATTGCTGGGGAGATACATTAATGCCGATCAACAGCTTTTTGTTTGTTGAATCGTTCCATTGCCAGACATTCTGGCAGGTCTGTTTGAGTACCCAGTCACCCATTCGGTTGATTTCACCGCGGCGCTCAGCCAGAGGAATAAATTGATCCGGCGTAATGTTGCCAACATCCAACCCCTGCCAGCGCAGCAGCACCTCGGCGCCGGTGATATTCACACCCCTGATATCCCATTGCGGCTGCAATGCCAGGCTGAATTCGTTGCGATTCAGAGCTTTCGGAATAAGCTGGCTCAGTTTTTCGGTAGCCAGTGGCCCGGTGTTGCGGTTGCCGCCGTTCTGTTTGCTGGTTTCTTTGGCGGACCAGGCGGCCTGCCATAGCTGTTCCGGAGCCGTTAATGCCTGGGTGTCGGCATAGCCACAACTGATGGTGAAGTGGAGTTCGCCGCCACGGATAGTGATGGTGTTCCGGCAGGCGACCAGCAGTCGCTGGCTGGCCTGTTCCAGAGCTGCACCGGTGAGCTGTGGACACCAGGCTACAAAACACGCGGCGTTGAAAATGCCCGGGTGGGCATCGTCGGGCAACTGGTTTGAGATGTGCAGTCCAATCGCGCCTAACAGATCTGTTTTGCTTACCGGGTCGAGGTTTTCGTATAGGTGTTCAGCGTGATCAATCTCAAGCACAATCAATCCACAGGCCTGTCCGACATAGCGCCGGACACTGTGCAGCAGTTCACTGTGGCGGGGTAGTTGAGTAATCGGCTCTACGGTCTCTGAACGAAAAAACTGAGCTTCAAATTGAGCGACGTTAGCTATGGTCGTCAGGTGTGTGATGAGATGGGTTTCAACATCTGTCTCAAGCAGCACGCTGCAGCGGTCCGGCAAACCGATATCAGTGCCGCTGACACTCAGATAGATTGCGTTGCTCTGCCGGTGCTGTGTCAGGTAACGACTCACAGCGCTCAACGCGTGCAACTGGTCGAAGATGATGAAGTCTACGCTGATCAGGTTGTCTGTCAGTTCATCAAGGCGCAGTTGGACCACCTGCCAGCCCTGTGACTCACACAGATTCGCCCAGACTCTCGCCTGGGTCGGTTCAGCGGCAACAATGGCAATGTGCAGATTCTGTGGCATGTTGGTGTGGTAAAGAAACAAAGACGATAAATATGAGTCTAGACCAGATCTGCAACTTGCCTGCAACAGCGCCTGGGAAAAGTTCAGAATCCTGGTTGCAGCGTTACACTTTTGTGATCTGAAGCCACCTCAAACTGGCTTTGCAGAGCGCTCAGGTACGGGCTGCTGCGTGCGGGTACCTGGTTGATACTTTCAATCTGTACGTGCAGACGGCGATAGTTGACCAGATGTGCCAGCACTGCGTTAACCACAGGTAGTGATTGATCATCTGCAGGAATGTAGTACTGAATCTGTTTGCCACCATTGATGATCACCGCGCTTAATTTATTCGCGGCGAAACTCAGATAATTATTTGCCCGCCGTTGCGGTAGCTCCGGCCAGTCCAGCCCCAGGCCACAGGGTGACGCCGGGTCATTGGCTGCGAGCCACCAGCTGTCGGGGGCGGCTGGGTTTTGCAGCTGTGCATATGCGCTGGCAGTAATGAATTGTGGGCCAGAGAGTTGTTCAAAGAAGTGTCCAGTCAGCACTTCGCCTGACAGTTCCATTACGCGTAATGCGCGGAAGGCATTGCGCCAACGCAGAGTTTTGCCTTCTGCACCGTAAGGCAAACGTTCACGATTGACAATTTCCCGGTTGACCCAGCCATATCGGTCCAGCAGCAGGCGAACAATTTCTTTGTCCGCTTCCAAACGACTTAACGCATCCAGCGGTGATTTGCTGCGCGGTAGCAGCCAGTTGCCTGGCCAGCCAGGTGCGGACATGCGCATTCGACGCCGGCTTGAGATTTGTGCCGGTGGGGCCTGCAAGGTGAATTTGCGCTCTAACCCGATCCGTATGGAAGCAAACGTATCACTGTGTAACCCGCCTTGCCAGACGGCCTGCCACCACTGGTTATTAAAGGCATTGCGGCTGATTGACTGTTGTTGCGCCAGGTCTTCGAAACGGTACCCCGCGCTAGGGTCGACAAAGCTGTCTGCAAAATCGGCTCTGGCTTGACTGTCACTGAGTAATTCAAGGTCTTCGGGGAAGCCAACGGCTATCTGTTCTTTGCCTGCGCCGACCCAGGTAAACCCATAGTCTGGAATTTCAGTATCCCAGACGCTGGCCTGCATGCCGGACAGACGGGCGGGTAACAGGTCATACCACCAGGTTGAAACTGTGCAGGGCAGCGCGCGCAACCTTTCCAGAACAGACAGCAGCGACTGCGGTTCAGAACGTCGACCAAACTGTTGAAAGCTGGCCCAGAACCCCGGCAGGTGAGTTACCGGCAGTGCTGCAAATTCAGTGCGCTGCGCGGCGCGCGCGAAGCGCATCAGCGATTCAAAGTTCTGTGCATCACACCAGTAGCTTGTGTCATCACCGGCGATCAGCAGACCCTGAATGAACGTTTCATCAACGTTGAACAGGCCTTCCGGGATTGAAGGCAGACGTTGAGAAATGTCCGTTTCCGACAGCGGGCCATAGAACGACAGTATTTCGCGAGCAATCTCTACATCCGTGCGTAACTCGCTGATAGCAAAACTGTTTTCAGGCGCCTCACCTGGCACCAGACCGCAGGTATACAAACCCTGCTCGAGTTCTGCGTGGGTGGCCCAGCGTCGCTTGCCGACCTCTATCCAGCGTAGATAATCCATTGGTGGGAGGGTTTCTGGCAGTTCGTTGATTGGAATCAGGATTCTTTCTTTCAGCCATGCTGACCAGTCATCTGGATGGCTGGGTTCGTAACCTGGGAAGCGTCGCTGACGCTTGGCTTCGAATTGTTGAATGACCTCACGTTCAATCCGCGGCCGCAGCGCGTCATTGTGTAAAGCCTGACTGATGACGTCTGCGCTCAAGCTGCTCAGTTCATCATCTTCCGGGGTGTCATCCGCGTACATGTAGCGGCTGACCTGGCCGAAGGTCAGGTTACGGGCGAACGGGCTGGGGCTGGTGGTTTCGACAAAGCTCCAGTGGATCTCGCCGCTTTCCAGTTCCTGCAGGCGTGCCAGTAAAGCGGGAATATCAAACTCATCATCCAGACAGGTGCGCCAGGTTTCGATCATGATCGGAAAATTTTCCAGGCTTTTGACCTGGGTCATCAGTTTTTTTGCCTGCAGACGGCTCATCCACAAAGGCAGGCGTTGATTAAACTTTGCTTTGGTCAGTAACAGTGCGCGTCCGGCGCATTCCCGGAAGCGTGCGCCAAAGAAACCCGACAGTTCAAGGCTGCCCCGAAATAACGCAGAAAAGTTGGCTGGCGTAACGAGTGTTAGCAGAACGTGCGGGTCCAGCTCTCCCTCAATTTGCGCCACAATGGCATCGTTATCTGCGTGTATCTCGAGTTTGCTGCCAAAGCGCGCCTGCCAGGCGGCTTGAATGGCCATTGCCCATGGCTGGTTCAAACGGCCTCCCCAGAAGGTGTGCAGCACCACCTGCCGGGGATCATTCGGGCCGTGGTAACCCGCGGGTCCCGTGCGCACCAGTTCCACCAGTAAATGATGTCGGTGGGGTAATTCGCTCCGGGTATGGGCGCGCTGGCGTTGCAGGTAATCGACAAGCTCTGCCGCCGCGATATCATCAAAGCCGTCAGTTTCAGTGAGATCATCAAGCAACCCCTGGCTGTCGTTATTGCCTAACCGGTCTTCAACGTGTTCCAGGTATTGCGTAATTCGATTTGAAAAATGCAGCGATCGGTTAAAAAACTCGCTCCGCCAGAAGGGCGGTGCAGCCCGATCCGGTGGCGCCGGACGGACCAGCACATCGTTGTGCGTGATCTGCTTGATCTGCCAGGCAGCGGTACCCAGGGTAAAGGTCTGACCAACGCTAGCCTCCCAGACAAATTCTTCGTCCAGCTCGCCAAGCACTGCGCCATGGTCAGCGTGTCGTAACTGATAATAGCCACGGTCCGGGATGGTGCCGCCTGAGTTGTACATGGCCAGCACCGCGCCGCGATTGGCTTTTACGGTCTGCTGTATGCGATCAAAATCCAGCCGCGTGCGCAGCTCCCGGATACGGCTGCCACTGTAGCGCCCGGCGAGCATTTCAATCAGCTGGTCAAATTGTTCACGTTGCAGATGATGATAGGGCGCGGCGCGGGTGATCAGCCGGTAGATCTGGTCCACAGGCCATGGCTCGTTCGCGCAGATCGAAATGACTAACTGTGCAAGAACATCCAGCGGCCCCCGCATCATCTGCTGGGGTTCAATGTCGCGGGCCGCAATCGCCTGGGCCAGCACCGCGGCTTCCAGGAAATCGTGGGCGTGGGTAGGAAACAAAGTGCCTGTGCTGACTTCGCCCACCTGATGACCGGCTCGGCCGATGCGTTGCAGGCAGGCTGAAACCGATGGCGGACATTGCACCAGAACCACTTCGTCCAGGGCGCCGATATCGATACCCATTTCCAGAGAATTAGTCGCTACGATGGCTTTCAGCTCGCCGGCTTTAAGGCGTCGTTCGACTTCAGTGCGCACCTCTCTGGCCAGCGAGCCATGGTGTGCATAGGCAAGAGGTTCTGGTTCTTCTTCATTGATTTTTAGGGTTATTTTTTCTGCCAGGCGGCGGCTGTTGGTGAAGAACAGGGTGGAGGTGTTGTCCGCAATGGTTGCCTTGAAACTCTTTGATAAAGGTTCCCAGATCTTCTCGCCGTTTTCGGCTGCCTGCTTGGCGTCCGGAGGAAAGGTAATGCGGAAATCGATTTTCTTTGCGCCGGGTGTGTTGACGACCTGCACCTGTCGAAGTTGTCCCTGGGGGGTATGGCCCGCAACATACTCCGCCACTGCCTCCAGTGGTGACACGGTGGCTGACAATGCGATGCGTTGAAATTCTCCGGCAAAATCTGCCAGACGCTCGATGTTGACCATCAAAGATGCGCCGCGACGGTTATCGACCAGGGCGTGAATCTCATCAAGGATGACGGTCTGAACCTGACTCAGCGCAATCTGACCTTTGCGTGTGGTCAGCAACAGGCCAAGACTTTCCGGCGTGGTGATGAGTATGTCCGGCGGCGTTCGCAGCATGCGTTGTCGCTCACTCTGGGGGGTGTCTCCTGAGCGGGTTTGTACCTTCAACTGCGGGAAGCCGTAAGCAGATGTCAACTGCGCCAGCGGCGTGGTGAGGTTGCGCTGGATATCATTGTTCAGGGCTTTCAAAGGCGAGATATACAACACCTTGGTTTGCCCGGTGTGGTAGTTACCTGAGGCGTACTGACTCAGCGACCACAAAAAGGCGGTGAGGGTTTTGCCGCTGCCGGTGGGCGCTGTAATGAGGGCGTGCTGACCGCTGGCCAGCAGCGGCCAGCTGGCTTGTTGCACTTCAGTGGGTGCGGGATATTGATCAGCAAACCAGCGTTGGATGGTCGGGTGGAAAGGCAAGGTGTCAGACATTCAACGATTACAGCAGATTTGGGTTTATCATGCTCTTTTTGTCCCGAGGTAATTAATGCTGGCAGTGTTATCCGGCTTACGCACCATCATCTGCATGGGTGTTGCCTTCCTGGTCTGGTACGTTCTGGTGGTTATTGTGAAAATGCCGGGGTCGTTGCTGGGTGTGCTTTTTCCGGTCTGGCTTGGCGGGCTGGCGGGGGGCATTGTCAGTGTGATTTTCTCAACCCGGCAGGGTCTGATGATGGCCACTACCAGTGGTGTGCTGCTGGCCGTCGGGTTTCTTTGGGTCAGGCATGTCTACCTCGGCATCGGTCTGGGAACAAATACCGTGCTCACCCTCTGGCCGGTCTGGTTTCCACCAGCATTTTATGTGGGCGCCTACTGTTACTTGAGTTTCTTAATCTACCGGGAAAAATAATGCCTCATCCATCAGCCCTGATCGAAGCAGGCCAGAAGATTTTTGTTGCGGGCAGCAGCAACGAACCCACTGGTCTGATTGAAAGTCTGTTGGCCGAGCCTCTGCCTGAGAACCTGCACTTTGTGCAGTTCCCCATTGCCGGATTCAACAACGTAGATTTTACCCAGGCAAACGCAAACGCTCACCTGACTACTTTTTTCATGACGCCTGCGCTGAAAAACGCAGCTGCTGAGCGGCTGCATTTTCTACCGATGCAGATGCGCTGGGTGTACAGCTATTTGAGTCAAGGTATCGATGTGGCCCTTATACAGGTTGCCCGTGACCGGGATGGCCAGCTGCGCCTGGGCCCAAATGTGGATTTTGTTGATGCCGTCCTCAGCAATGCCAGGGTGGTGTTGGCGGAGCTAAATACAGGTTTTACTGCGCCAGCAGGCGCACCGCTGATAGACCCTGCACGCCTCGACCATGTGTTTGAAAGCGAGCGTGAGCTGTTTGCTCCAGCCCCTCCAAGCATTGATGAAGCCGCCTTGCAGATCGGCGCAAATGTTGCTGGTTTGATCAAGGATGGGGATGTTCTGCAGACCGGCATTGGCGCTATTCCTGCGGCCATCCTCAGCCAGCTGGGCGACAAAAATGATCTCGGTATGCACGGTGGTCTGATCGACGATGGCGGCATGCAGCTTATTCGTAACGGCAACCTTAATGGCCGCAACAAAACCCTGGATAAAAACAAGCACATTACTGGTATGGCGCTAGGCAGCAAGGCCCTGTTGACCTGGCTTGCCGATACACCAGACGTGGTGTTCTGCGGTGCAAACCATACTCACGAAGCGTCTGCCATTGCACAACTGGATAACTTTGTTTCGGTGAATTCTGCGGTGGAGATCGATCTGCTTGGCCAGGTGAATGCGGAGTATGCTGGTGGGCGCCAGATATCTGGCACAGGTGGTTCAGTGGACTTCATGCGTGCGGCTAAAGCGTCCCGCGGCGGGCGCTCAATTGTTGCAATGAATGCAACTGCTCGAGGCGGATCTGTCTCGCGTATTGTCCCACGTGTGGAGTTGGTTACTGCGCTGCGTACGGACGTTGATATTGTGGTCACCGAGTTTGGTGTTGCACATCTGAAAAATCTGCCGGCAGCGGCCCGGGTTGAAGCGCTGATTGAGATAGCTGCGCCACAATTTCGTGATGCTCTGCGCCAGGGCGAACTTCACAACGCCTAAATCACGCCAAGCGTGTGCACTGATTCACGCTTTTCGATTGCCATTCGGACGAAGGCAACTAGCCTTCATTACAATAGTGATTCGATGGATTACGAGATAAGGATACCTCAAGCCATGGATTATGTTGGCATCGATCCCGCGGTAGGGCTGGAGTGCTCAAGCTGTAAACACATTTCGCGTCTGCCTTACAGTGAGTTGCTTAACCGCGTGCTGCAGGAAGCACATGTGAACTGTAAAGACTGTGAACGCGCCATGTTGCATGACTGGACTACAGTGTCTGTCGTACAGAATATTATTCGCAAGCGGCTCAAGCAGGCCAACGAAGATAAAGCCAAGCGTACCGCGACCGGATAAAGATCACTCAAGCAGATGTTGTTGGAGCCTGGTTGCTGACGCCCAGTTCGTGCAGAAAAAACGCGTACTCTTCAGCCAGCTCCTTGAGCGCATCAAAACGTCCCGATTGTCCGCCATGGCCAGCCCCCATATTTGTTTTCAGCAGCAGCGTAGTGCTGTCCTGCTTGAGCGTACGTAGCTTAGCCACGTACTTGGCCGGTTCCCAATAAGTGACCCGTGGATCGTTTAAGCCCGCAGTGACCATGATCGGCGGGTAAGCCCCTGGCCTCAGCTGATCGTAGGGCGAATATGAGCGGATAAACTCAAACGCCGCCTGATCTGTAATGGGGTTGCCCCATTCAGCCCACTCCGGGGGTGTCAGTGGCAGCGTCTCATCCAGCATTGTGTTTAAGACATCAACAAACGGTACATGGGAAGCCACAGCGCCCCACAGTTCCGGCGCCTGGTTCACCACCGCACCCATCAGTTCGCCACCCGCGCTGCCGCCCGCGATGGCTATGTTGCCGGCGGTCGCATAATTGTTCTGGATCAGATGTTTAGCGACATCAACAAAGTCGTTGAATGTGTTGGTTCGCTTGTCAAGTTTGCCGTCTGTGTACCAGTGATAGCCGAGATCGTCGCCGCCACGAATATGTGCGATCGCAAAAATGAATCCCCGCTCTAACAAAGAGATGCGTGCTGCTGAAAAGCCAGGTGCAATGGCATGGCCGTACGCGCCGTAGGCATACAGGTATAACGGTGCGCGACCATCCACAGGTGTGTCCCGGTGGTAGACCAGGCTGACAGGTACTTCCACGCCATCCCGGGCGGTTGCCGTTAACCGTTCTGTGGTGAACTGGCTGGCATCGTACCCGGAGGGAATCTGTTTGACTTTCAGGGTGGTGAAAGACCGTTTCGTCAGGTCGTATTCGAATACGGTGTTAGGCGTGACCATGGAGGCGTAGTTAATGCGCACAGTCGGGCTGTCAAATGAAGGCGTTAAACCTATTCCCGCCTCGTAAGTGGCTTCAGGGAACGCCACATAGTGCTGGTTGTCCTGTTTGTCTATGACTCGAATCTGATCCAGGCCATCTATGCGTTCTTCAACCAGCAGGTGGCTCTTAAAAACGACATGGCCGGTAATGTAGTGACGCTCATCTCCAGCGACCCAGGTTTGCCAGTTGGATTGTCCGGGTTGTTCTTCGTTGACACGATAGATATCGAAGTTGGCTTGTCGCACATTGCTGCGTATGACAAATTCACCATTGCCGTGGTCAACATAATATTCCACGTCGTCGCGACGCGGCTCGATCAGTTTTGCCGGCGTGTTGAAATCATCACGAGGAATGACAAACGCTGCGTTACTGGTATGGCCGCCGTAGTTGAGAATCACCCATTCCTCTGACTGGCTCAGGTCTAACGATACGCGCAAGGTAGTGTCTGTTTCTTTGTGAACAAGACGGTCCTCACCTTCAGTATCGAGCAGACTGTGTTGATAAACCTCCAGTGGTTGCCACTGCTCATTCACCACGACATAAAATAAATTATTACTGTGCGCATCCCATATGGGTGAACCCATGGTGGCTGGGATCGGCGTGCTCAAAGGCTGGCGGCTCTGAATATCGATAATGTGCAGGGTGTAGCGCTCGCTGCCATCGACGTCAATGCTGTAAGCCAGCCTGCGGCCATCCGGGCTGACGGCCAGAGCGCCGAGGGAAAAGTATTCATGGCCGTCGGCAAGGGCGGGTTCGTCGAGCAGTAGCTGCCAGGCTTGTGGTGTGGTCTCAGGTGCGCGGTACCAACGCCGGTATTGAGCATCTTTTTCAAATCGCCATTGATACCAGAATCCGTTTTTCAGGTAAGGGACACTGGCGTCGTCGTCCGGTTGGCGCGCCTTCAGCTCTTCAAAAATCTGTTCCACCACAGGTGCCAGTGGCGCCATGTAGTTTTCAAAATAGCTGTTTTCCTGCTTCAGATAGCTGAGTATCTCGCTGTCATTCACCTCCGGGTAGCCCGGGTCTCTTAGCCAGGCGTAGGGGTCATCCACCTGAATGCCATGATGGCTGAATGAGTGAGGTTTACGGGTAGCGACGGGTGGGATGCTGGGCTGGGGCATGTGGTTAACTGCTGATTGTGACGATGAAACAGCGGCGCAGCATTCCTTAATGAAGCGCAAAACGCAAACCTCTACACTGTGACAACCTGCACCCACACTGGAATTCGACTATGGCCCATATTGACCCAATTGCGCGGACGGATCTGAGCCATCTGGAAGCGGTGCTGGCGGGAGCCGAGGCCAGCATGGGCTTTGTCCCGAACAGCATGTTAACGATGGCCCATATGCCGCAGTTGACCATGGCTTTTTCAATGCTGGCGGGGGTTGTTTTCGGCGCAGACCTGCGTCCCATGATGGCCGCTTATAGTGACATGGTACCCGTCGATGAGGCAGCGGATGAAGCGCTTTCGCCAGAGTTGGTGCAGTTGATTGCGTACGCGGTCAGTCTTAGCGCGGGTTGTCGCTACTGTCAGGCGCATACGTCTCACAGTGGTCATCGACGAGGAGTTGATGAGGAAAAGTTTGCCCAGATCCTGAGCTATGAATCTTCGCCTTTATTCACTGATGCTGAGCGTGCGGTAGTGGCGGTAGCTCTTGCTGCCGGGCAGAACCCTAATGAAGCGGATGCGCCACACTTTCAAGCGCTGAAGCAGCACTTCAGCGAACGACAGATTGTGCAGATAGTCGCGGTGATTGCGTTATTCGGTTTTCTCAATCGCTGGAATGACACCATGGCGACAGAGTTGGAAGCCGGTCCAATAGATTTTGCTGCGACGGTGTTAGCCGAATCCGGATGGGTGGTCGGTAAACACGATCATGGCAAAACTGATCAATAGGCGTCGCTGGCCGGATTATCGATAAGGAGAGATGACATGTGTGGCAGGTTCAACATCACATCGGATCCGTTGGCCAAATTCCTTATGGAGTTGGTGGGGGTGAGTTATCCCGGGCAGGATAATTTCAACCTTGCGCCTACGGAAACTGTTCACGTGCTGCGTTTGGACGCCCAGGGGCAGCCGGAAATGGTGCCTATGCGCTGGTGGCTGACGCCTTTCTGGGCGAAAGAGCTATCGACGAAGTACAGTATGTTCAACGCGAAATCAGAAACTGCCGCAAAAAGCCCGGCTTTCAAAACACCTTATGCTAAACGCCGTTGTGTGGTGCCCGTCAGCGGTTTTTATGAGTGGTGTCGACAGAATAATCAGAAACTGCCGTATTTCATCAAACCTCAGCAGGATGCAGGGTTGCTGCTGGCTGGTTTGTGGGACAGCTGGCGCCAGCCGGAAAGTGACGAAGAACTGCTCAGTTTTACTATTCTCACCACTGCAGCAAATCCTGAACTGGCTTTTGTCCATCATCGTCAGCCGGTGTTCCTCGATCATTCAGCAGCAAAGCAGTGGCTTGATATGGACATCCCAACGTCGGAACTTGAAGATCTGTTCGACTCCCGCCTGCCGGTACCGCTTGAAGTTGTGCCAGTCTCCACCCATGTGAATAATGCGCGCCACAAAGATGCCAGATGCGCGCAACCCATTGGTGCAACCATCCCGGTAAGCTCTGATATCCACTAATTTCCGGTAAAAGGAAGAACTGCATTGTTAGTAAGAAAAGGAAAATGGCTGGGTAAGGGTAACCTGCTGGTCGGTGGTTCCAGTCTGGGAGTGGAGGTGCAGGTTGATCTGGATATCAGCGAAGATGAAGGTGGCTTGACGTTGAGCGGTAACCTGCAAGGAGAGTTCTCCGGTGCTGTATCAATCAGAATTGCGCCTGACGAAGTAGGTACCTACGTCATCGATGCCCGGGTTGCAGGTATGGCTTTTGATGGCGTGAGCAAGCTCGAGAGCGAGCCGAACCTTGCGCTACTGTGGAATGCAGGTCATACCAGTAGCGTTAGTGTTGCTTTGTTTCAGCCAGGCGGTGGCATAGGTTGCCGAGGTTTCTGGCAGGAAGGTGGACGTACCGCGACCTGGGAAATTCTGTTTCAATTGAAACAGCACGTTGTCGGCGGCGACAACGTGGTTTCGTTAGCTCGCCGGCGGCGTTAGCTGGTTAGAGCAGGTTGAGATAATCGATATCAGCCTGTGTAAGGTTGATGTTCAGGCTCTCTATGCAGCTGTCAGTTTCTTTCAGCTGGCGTGGGCCAATCAGCGGGAACGTCGGGAATGGCTGGGTTAAAACGTATGCCAGAGCAATGTTGATCATCTCCACACCGTATTTTTCTGCCAGTTCACCCGCTCGGTCCCGGCGGGTGAAGTTATCCTGGGAAAACCACACTCGTTTGAGTTCTTCGATCGTCGGCTGCACGCTGGTTACAACAAGATTTTCTTTGCCACTGTCGGCAATCACCTGTCCCGCCCAGGGTGTGAAAAAGCCGCGCGCCTGTGATGACCAGGGCATCAGCGCAATCTGAGTTTCCTGCAGATAGTCTCGATAGGCTTCTGATGTGGCGTCTTCCGTACCGGGCCAGATGGGTTCGTTCATCTGCGCCAGGCTGAAGTTGTTGGAGATGGCGCTGAAACCCTGCAGACCCTTGGAGGCGGCGTAGTTGTTGGCTTCGCGTACCCGCTCCAGGCTCCAGTTCGAACCGCCAAAGGTGCGAATCCGGCCGGCTTTGACTTCATCGTTTAAAGCATCGATGAATTCGGCCACCGGTACGTCGAGGTTATCCCGGTGCAGAAAGTAGATGTCGACGTAGTCAGATTGCAGGCGTTGCAGCGAAATATCTAATTCTTTGCTGATGATGTGTGGAAAGTTGTCCGGTGTATGTGCACCTTTGCCGATAATGACAATGTCTTCGCGAATGCCGCGTGCGGTGTGCCAGTGTCCCAGCAATGCTTCCATGCTGCCACCACCATAGATGTAAGCGGTATCGAAACAGTTGCCGCCGGCTTCAAAGTAGTCGTCCCACATCACGCTGGCATGACTCATGGAAGGCTGGTTGTCGCAGCCCATAACAAGTCGAGCAACGGATTTATCCAGGTTGGCGACACTGCCGTGAGAGATTCTGTTATCCGGTTTTGACAGCGTGCCGAGCAGTGGTCCGCGGTGACTGCCGGGTTGCTCTATTGCGTAGCTCAGGCCGATGGCCTTGCGCCATTGATCCAGAGCCAGGGCGTTGTGAAGAGACTCCTGCCAGCTCAGAATGTCAGACTGTGTATTGCCTGCAGCGATGTGTTGCGCCACATGATCAGCCTCTATTGTATACAGGCCCTCGCTGTGGCCACTGATAACCTCGGTGTCTGAACCGCGTTTTATGCTGAATGACCAGTTCTGCTTGTCATCCAAAGGCAGCCAGGGATTGGGAACATGAATACTGCCTTTGCTGCCATAGACAGTGGCCTCGTTGGTCAGATTCAATGACACGGCAGTTGATATCTGGGCGGCAAGACCGTTTTCAAACTTGAGCAGAGCGGTGGACCACTCATCGATGCCGGTAGCTCCAAGCTGACCATGCGCGGCGATTTCGAGAGGCTCGCTACCCGCGATGGCGCGCGCGAATGACATTGGATAACAACCGACATCCATGATGCCACCGCCTGCCAGATGGTTGGCAAACAATCGCGAGTCGGCGTCAAATGCTGCGTGGTAGCCAAACTGTGCCTCAATATGTCTGACCTCGCCAATCTCGCCACTTTGAATGAGATCGACAATAGTTGTCATCTGCGGATGCAGGCGGTACATGAAGGCTTCCATCAGGAAAACGTTGTGTCTGGCTGCACAAGTCACCATGGCCATACTTTCAGCATGGTTCAGGCCCATGGGTTTCTCGCAGAGCACGTGTTTACCAGCCTGCATCGCGCGCATTGCCCACGCGGCATGTTCCGTATGCGGGGTGGAAATGTAGATTGCATCGACCTGTGGGTCGTTGATCAGGCCGGTGTAGCTGTCATGGCAAGTCAGCGCGAGGTCAGGAAATGTCTCAGCAAATGCCTGTGCCCCCTCCGCAGAGCGGCTGCCCACCGCTACCAGCGTGTTGGCGGGAGAGTCGATGAGTGCTTTTGCATAGGTTTTGCCAATGGTACCTGTGGCCAGGATGCCCCAACGTAGTGACATGTAGATGCTCGCGATGTTTTTTGGACGCGGCAACATAGGGTTTGGCGATGCATTTGGCAAGGTTTGTAAAGAAATCGTTGCTGTGACCAATGTCACAACAGCGGCAGGTTGACGCCGCTACAGTAGGCTCACGCAAGGGCAGTTCAGGTATCGCCTCATGATGAGGCATTTGATTATCGGCTCACTCTGACTACAAGGATCTGCGTTGTTTTCCATGTGAGCGAATGTCTGGGTATTGCCCATGAGCCTGCATCAAGCCTTTCGAACAGCGTGTCTGCTGAGTGTTGCGATCTTCTGCAGCCTGCCAGGCATCGTTCTGGCAGACGAAAGTTCTACCTGGAATACCTTATCCGCCGATGAACGCCAACGTATTCTAAGCGCTGTAGATACCGAGCAATATAACGGGGCCAATGGCCAAAGGTTTAGCGCTGTAACCGGGCTGCGCAATGTGCCGCAAGCCGCTTTGACGGATCGTTTGTATCGGGATCAACAGAGCGGGCAGAAAAGTGGCTTGAGACTGGTCTGGCAGGGGGCTGCAAACCTGATCAGCGTTTCCGAAGCAGGCTTGAGTCTGACGCGCCGATTCTGATCCGCTCAGCGCTGGTAGGGCCTTATCACTAAGTTTATCTGTTCCTGCAAGGTGCTCATCGCGGCTGCTTTGTCCTGATTGTGATCCAGGAAAAACAATAGAAAAGAGTATTCCGTGAGGCAATACAGTGTGTGTGCCAGCAGGTGCAAATCGACTTGTGTATCAAGATGTCCCATGCCTTGAGCCATCAGGAGCAGCGCGTGGTAGCGTTCGTGGGCAACCTGATTCAAGGAGGTGAGCTGAGTCTCATCTAAACTCTGACTGAACAACGCCACACTGACCTGGCGCCACAGTTCCATATTTTCGTCGTTGAATTGATCGAACCCCAGTTGGGTGATGTCCGCCAGGGTTTGCTGCAGGTTGCCGTCATATTTTTTGATGACGCCGTCTACGGCGGTTCCCCACAGGCCGACTTCAGCGGCAATAATTGCATGCACAATGTGCGCCTTTGAGGGGAAGTAGTTGTACAGTGTCTGGTAGCTGATGCCTGCGGCTTCAGCTATCTGGCGGGTGGTTGTGGCAGCGATACCCTGGTTGCGAAACAGCTGGTCGGCTTGTGCAACAATCTTTTCCCGTGCCTGGTTTTTTTTCTGTTGGCGGAGTGACACTAAGTAGCTCGCGAATATGTTGACTTGATCAATATTTAGACTGAGTATATATTTATTGCAATCAAGTTCAAGGGCATCGTTATGCGCCCCAGCATCTGCGCCGCACTGAGTGTTCTGCTGCTTACCGCCGTCTTCGGCCTGCCTGTTGTGCGGGCACAAGGGGCGGTACAGGAGCAGGAACAAGAGCAGGAACAAGAGGTCTCATTTGACCCTTACGCCCTGGTAGAAAAGGCTCTGGACCTGACCCGCAGTATGTCCTCACATTCACAAATGTCGATGACCATTTCCCGCCCAAGCTGGCAGCGAACCTCGAGTCTTGTGGCCTGGACCCGCGGTCGGGAAGACTCGTTGATCAGGTTCACCGCGCCGGCCAAAGATGCGGGTAACGCTCTGTTGAAACAGGGTGACAAAATGTGGACCTACAACCCCAAGCTCAATCGTAATATTCGGCTACCAAGCTCTATGATGTCCCAGAGCTGGGCAGGTTCAGATTTCTCATACAACGATTTGTCCCGCAGCGATAAATACCTGCGCCATTATGATCTTTCGCTGGAGGACGTGACGTTCAGTGAAGCTGATGCCGGTGGCGTACAGCAACGCGTGTTCACTATCGATGCAATCCCTAAAGAAGACGCGCCAGTGGTATGGGGTAAAGAGCGTATGGTCATTCGTGAAGATGCCATCATGCTCGAAGTCACTTACTTTGATCAGAGCATGTTGCCGGTGAAGCGTCTTGTCAGCCTTGAGATTGGTGAGCTGGGTGGCCGCACCATGGCAACAGCGATGCGTATGAATAACCTCGAAGAAACCGATACGTTTACTGAAGTCCGCTATCAGGACATCGAATTTGATCTGCCCCTGGAAGATCGTATGTTCACAGTTTTTGCGCTGCAGTCTGGACAGACACCTTGACTCAAACGGCAGTCCTGACGGTGCCCACGAGCCCATCAAAGGGTAATGCAGGCTTAACCTGGCGCCTGGCCTGGCGTAACCTCTGGCGTAATCCACGCCGTACCTGGTTGACTGCGGGTGGTATTGCGTTTGCCAGCTTGTTGGTCACGCTGAGCATGTCGCTGCAGCAGGGGTCCTACGATGCCATGGTGTCTTCCGCGACGGGGTTTTACGTGGGTCAGGCGCAAATCAACCATGTCCTGTACGAAGATGAAGGCAAGCTGGAACAAACTGTCGCGCCTGCTGCTGAATTAATGCGCTCTCTAGCACACGTGCCCGGTCTTCATGTAGCACCGAGAGCACAGGTGTATGCCCTGGCATCGGTCGAGCAACGCTCCTTCGGTGCCGCGGTGGTGGGTGTCGACTTCGAGGTCGAGCAGAAGCTGGTCAGCTTCTATGATCGGGTCACTCAGGGGCGTTTACCCGTGGATGAAAATGAAGTGCTGATCGGTGAAGCGCTGGCCCGCAATCTGGGCGCCCAACTCGGTGACGAGCTGGTCCTGCTGGGTACCGGCAAGCAAGGGGGTATTGGCGCTCTTGCGCTGAGCATTGCCGGTCTTTACGCCTCCGGACGACCAGAACTGGATCGCAGCCTTGTGTTCACGCATCTGGCAAGCGTACAGAACGGCTTTGGTTTAGGCGATGAAGTGCATGCGCTGGTGCTGGGGTTTGATGACATCGACGAGCTTGAGCCCAATCTGGAAGGACTACGCAGAGCCCTGCCCGAAAATGTTGAGCTGCGGACCTGGCAGCAACTGTTGCCAGAGGTGGTGCAGGGCATTGAGCTCGACCGGATCAGTGCCGTGCTGTTTTACGGCAGCATCCTTATCCTGGTGACGTTTTCTGTTGTGAACACGTTCATCATGATCATTTTTGAACGCACACGGGAATTTGGCATGTTGCTGGCGCTGGGCGCGCGGCCGGGCATCATCATGCGCCAGGTACAGGCCGAGGCGTTGATGATGTGGCTGGTGGGTACCGCCATAGGTCTGTTGTTATCAAATGTGCTGGTGGGCTGGGCTGCCCTGCAAGGTATTCCGTTAGGCATGATGGAAGAAATGGCCGAGCAGTACTATATGCCCAGCCGTTTGTATCCCGCGATTTCGCTGTACGCCATGTCGCTGGCGCCACTTGTACTGCTGATGGGTACGCAATTGGCAGCGTTTCTTGTGACGCTTCGCGTACGGCGGCTTAAGCCCGTTGAAGCGCTGCGGGCGGAGTAGGCAGCCAAACGGTATGAAACTCCTCTTTCAACTCAGTATTCGAAATCTGTTTCGTAACAAGCGGCGTAACGCGATGCTGCTGGTTGCTATTGCCGTGGCTGTGGCCGGCGTCAATGCATCAAACACGCTGTTGCGGGGTTATCAGTACGACATGCTGGAATCCGCCATCAATAATCTCACCGGCCATGTCAAAGTTATGGCCGAAGGCTATGCGGATGATCCCAATATTGCACACAGCTTTAAGCTGATGACTGAGCAACTGCCGCAGCTGCCTGAAGGTATGGTTGTCGGTTGGGCTGATCGATTACGCATACCGGCCGTAATTATGAGTGAGCGGGAAACTCGCGGCATCGAACTGGTTGGCGTGGATCCCGCAAAAGAATCTATTTCTTTTATAGGGGCTGCGCAGATTGAAGGCGAATACCTGCAAGATGCGGAAGATGGCCGTGTGTTGGTTGGCAAAGAACTGGCGCGCCAGTTACAGACGACGGTGGGGCGCCGGCTGGTATTGATCGCACAAGGGGCTGATGGCCTGAACAGAGAGCGTGGTTATCGCATTGCGGGCACCTACGATGCCGACGGCACAGGTCTTGAGAAAAACTATGTTTTTGTAGGTTTGAATTCGTTACAGACGCTGCTGGAAACTCAGGCGGTTACCGAGCTTTCGGTGCGTGTTGATCAGGAAGAGCAGCGCGTAGCGGCAAAATCCGCGTTGCGTCAGGCGTTTCCCGGTCTGGAGGTGAAAGACTGGCGGGAGTTAGATCCTCAAGTGGCTGAGATGTTCAAATTTGCAGATGCTTCGCTGTTTATCTGGTTTTTTCTGATGATGGGCGCGCTGACCTTTGGGCTGGTTAATTCTCTGATTGCAGCAGTGATGGAGCGGGTCAAGGAGTTGGGCATGATGCGTGCGCTGGGTATGCAGAACTCAACCGTGCTGGTGCAGGTGGTGCTGGAATCCATCATTCTGATGACCGTTGGTGTTGTGTTGGGTACAGGCCTCAGTCTGCTGATTTATTGGAGTGTTGCGGACGGGATAGATCTGTCTGCTTATGCGCAGGGCGCTGAGCTGGCTGGTGTGTCCAGTACGTTGCAGCCGGTGCTGTTAGGCCAGGATGTTCTTCTGGTCGCAGCCATGAGTATTATTTTAGGCATTCTGGCCAGTTTCTATCCCGCCTGGCGTGTTATCAAAATACGACCACTGGATGCATTGAGGCGATGAAAATGTCAGATGAGAGACTCAAAATCTGTCAGGGGGACTTAAACAATGACTGAACCGGTTGTTATCTGTCGTGGGGTCAGTCGCACGTATCAACAGGAATCTGTGCCTGTACACGCGCTTCGCCAGGTCGACTTCACGGTTTATCCCGGTGAGTTTGTCAGTTTGTCCGGCCCGTCCGGGTCAGGGAAGTCGACGCTGCTCAATATTGTTGGCGGACTCGATCGCCCGGATGAAGGCACTGTCTCGCTGGATGGCATAGATCTTGGCGAGCTGTCTGAAAGCCAGCTGGCGGAAATTCGCCTGCATAAACTCGGTTTTGTGTTCCAGGCTTACAACCTTATACCGGTGCTCACCGCGCTGGAGAACGTTGAATTTATCATGCAGCTTCAGGGGGTGCCGCCAGCTGAGCGTGCAGAGCGGGCTACAGCGGTACTGGATCGTCTGGGCTTGGCGGATATGTTAAATCGTCGGCCCGGTGAACTTTCCGGTGGGCAACAGCAGCGTGTGGCCGTCGCCCGTGCGATAGTTTCGGAACCCGTTCTTCTGCTCGCAGACGAGCCCTCTGCCAATCTGGATTCTAAAACCACAAAAGAGCTGTTAGATCTTCTGCGGCATCTCAATGAAGAAGGTATGACCATTGTTACCGCGACCCACGACAGCATGGTCATGAGCTATGCACAGCGCCAGGTGCATTTGCGAGATGGGCAGATCGAACACGATGATCAGGCTCAGACCGCGTAACAATTCCACAGGCGCCGTCTTCTGGTGTGAGCGCCTGGCTTTGGTTTTTTTGCTCACTCTGAGCGGTGTTGCACAGGCGCTGGATGCAGATGTTCGGCTGAAGTGGTTTGGTAGCGCCGCGCTTTTACCTGAACATGATCTGCAGCGCCAGATTGATAAAACACCCGCGTATGATCAGACCTACGACATGCGCCTCATGTTCCGCCACCAGGCTGGCGCTTTGCGCTTTGCCCTCGATCACTCGACTGTTCTGCTCAGCGGCGATGCTTCCAAGTTGGGTCGCGACCCGAATGCGGCGCTGGATCAGACGGTCACCAACGATGAGCGTCGTTGGGCGGATCTGACCTGGGATATAGAAGAGGGTAAACGGCATCAGAGTTTTCATCGCCTGGATCACCTGTCGGTGCAGTGGCAATCTGGGAATTGGAGCGTGTCAGCGGGGCGTCAGGCGGTGAGTTGGGGTAGCGGTATCGTATTTCAGCCCCTTGATCTGTTCAGTCCCTTTTCCCCCACCGTTGTTGATCGTGATTACAAACCCGGAGATGACCTGCTGCTGGTTGACCATCTGTTGGAAAACGGTAGTGATCTGCAGTTATTACATGTTGTGCGCAGAGATGTCGATGGCGATGTCCGCGGTGGGGTATCAAGTACCGCGTTCAAGTGGCATGGCTATGCTGGATCATCAGAACTGGAACTGGTCGCCGCCAGGCACTTTGATGAAGACGTGCTCGGTTTGAGCATGCGGCGCCCGTTGGGGGAGGCGATGTTTCGCGCAGATCTGGTCGCGGTGCGCAGTCAGGCCATGGATCAGAACGAAGGCTGGCAGATATCCGGTATCGCAAACCTTGATTACACCCTGATGGCCTGGGAGCGCAACGTCTACCTGTTTGGTGAATACTTTTACAACGATTGGGGGGTAGATGAGCTGCCCACGCAAATCGCCGAGTTGCCGTTGAGTCTGTTAGATAGATTGGCACGAGGGGAACTGTTCAACGTGATGCAGCATTATCTGGCGCTGGGCGGCAGTTTCGAATGGCATCCACTGATCAATCAGAGCGCAACCCTGATTACTAACCTGCAGGACCACAGCAGTTTGTTACAGGTTGCGGTATCTTTTGATCCCGGTGACCATCAGAGTGTGCAGGTGGGTTGGGTGCAGACACTGGGCCGCGCTGGCGATGAGTTTGGTGGTATCCCGGTAGCAGGCAACCAGGTCACGACCGGCGGGGGAAGCCGCTTCTATCTGCGTTGGACATACTTCTTCTGATTTCGCACCAGTGACGCTGGCCCTGCATTGGATTGCGCAATAAAAAAGGCCCGAATTGCTTCGAGCCTTTTTCCTGCTGCTGCCTTTGCGGCCACCAGCGTCATGTCCGGGAGTCCCGGTACGGCTTAGTTAGCAGCGACGTCGATGGTCACGCGAGATGTTTCAGGTACAAAGCGGCCTTCTTCAATGCTTGCGCTGATCAGCTTGGCGCCGCGATGTGCCGTTTCACAGGCTACGCGGATCGTGTTGCGCTCGCCCTGTTCCCAGCGGGTAGCGTTGACGAAGTACTCGGTGGTCGCGCCATCTTTGTTGATGAGATATTCACGGCTGGTGACCAGGCCTTCACTTTCCTTTTTGGCAGCGTTGACACAATTGTTGTAGCCGCGCATTTCAGCATCGGAACTGGTGCGCGCTTCGACGACGGCGCCATAAGCCAGGAAGGTGCTGAGAGCGGCAATAAATACTGATTTTTTCATTTTGTAGTCCTTTGGGGGTCTTGGGAGAAGTTTTGGGTTTAAATTGATACTGAGTGTTACCTAAGGTAACGTAACAAAGTAAAATAGGGAACATAAGTAACGTAGAATGCTTATTGCAATAATTTACAGGGGGGTGGTCATGTGCCAATCCAACCCACTTAATCTGAAAGTTAAAGGGCGGTCTGTATGAACGGGCATCCTGCTTTTGATCTTGACTGGAATCTTGTGCGGACTTTTGTAGCAGTGGGGCAGGGTGGCAGCCTGGCTGCAGGTGCCCGTGCCATTGGCATTACACATCCAACTGCTGCAAGACATATTCAACAACTCGAAGAAAGCCTTGGCATGTCGCTGTTCAGCCGGACAGCCCAGGGCCTGCTGTTAAATGAGGCCGGCGTGCGTCTGGATGCTGCCGCCCGGGTCATGCACGACAGTGCGCTGGCGTTTAAATCTGCGTCTGACGGTATGCGTGAGCAGCCTCTGCAACGCGTGACCATATCGGTAGCAGACGTCCTTGCTGAACTTCTTCCGGAAGTATTGCTTGAGGAGATGCATGACAACGCGGATCGGCCGGTGTCAGTAGACATGGTGGTGACCAATGATCTGGTCAATCTATTGCAACGAGATGCGGATCTGGCGTTGCGTAATGTCCGGCCCAGCCAACAGGAGTTGTTGTGTAAAAAGCTGGGCAGTCTGCGCATCGGCGTCTACGCTCATCAGGATTACGTGGCAAAACATGGATTGCTGCATCTGGAAGACATCAGCCAGCACCGATTTATTGACGGTTTGACCCGGGACTACCTGCGCCGCGGCGCCGCCGAACGGGGCCTTAGGATTGATGAGCGTCAAATTGTCATGCGCAGCGACTCAGTGCCGTGCAAACGTGCGGCGGTCAGGGCGGGCTGGGGTATTGCATCGTTTCCCTGCTGGATGGCCGAACAGGAACCGCAGTGGGTGTCTGTTTTAACTTCGGATGAATCGATTGATATGGATGTGTGGCTGGTCGCGCGCCCTGAGGTTCGTCAGAGTGAGCAGTTGTTCGGGTTGTTCAAGCGCTTGAGTGACAGTCTTGGTGCGCGTTTGGGTTAAGCGGGTGACCAGCCCTCTAGCGTCTCCCGGGTTGCGAGATGGCCGCCACGGATGACGGGCAGTACCCGATAGTGAACGTCTGTTGCTGGCAGACTGGTCTGTGCCTCGGATAGAAGGGATTCAACCTCGGACATGGGGATATGAACTTCGAATTGAATCCGTTTCGCGCGTCCACTGACCTGTTCGGCGGGTGTCAGACCTTTATGGCAACTGCTGTGTCCACGTGTTTCGAAACTGGTGAAGCCTGAATCATGGTCACGTAGTAGCAGCCAGTCGATCATTGTTTCTTCGAGATTGCGTGGCAGGTCGAAAACCACCAGCGCTTCCTCAACTTCGTCTAATCTCATTTAGTCGCCTCCGGTTCACCAAAACGTCGATAAAGAATGGGTAGGATAATGAGCGTCAATGCAGTAGCGGTAATCAGGCCACCAATGACCACAATTGCCAGAGGGCGCTGAATTTCAGAACCCGGACCGCTGGCGAAAAGCAGCGGCACCAGGCCAAACGCAGCGATACTCGCGGTCATCAGCACTGGCCTGAGGCGTCGTTTTGCACCTTCGATGACTACCTCAGACATGGCCAGCCCTTGTGCGCGTAGTTGATTAAAATATGACACCATAACGACGCCGTTTAATACGGCGATCCCCAGCAGCGCGATGAAACCAACCGAAGCCGGTACCGACAAATATTCGCCGGTCAGCGCCAGTGCAAAAATACCCCCAATCAATGCAAAAGGAATATTTGTCAGGACCAGTAACGCCTGTCGCACCGAACGGAACGTGGAAAACAGAAGCAGGAATACAAGACCAATGGACACCGGTACCACCACCGACAGGCGTGCTGCCGCCCGCTGTTGATTTTCGAATTGCCCACCCCACTCCAGGTAGTAACCCGTGGGCAGCACAACGTCTCGGGAAACTATTGCCTTTGCATCGTCGACAAACCCAACCAGATCGCGACCGGTGACATTGCTGCGCACGACGGTGAAACGCTGACCGCGCTCCCGTCCGACAGCAACCACGCCCTCGACACGGTGAATCTGCGCCACGGACTTCAACGGTACACTGCTACCGTCCGCCAGAACGATAGGCAGGCTCGCGAATTCGGCCGGAGAAGAGCGGACTTCGCTGCTGGCGCGAATCAGCAACGGGGTGCGCTGCACACCTTCCTGTACTATCCCCAGCGTGACACCTTCAAATTGTGTTCGCAGCATGCGTTGCAGGGCTTCGATGCTGAGCCCCAGACGGCCTGCAGCCAGTCGATCAACTCTAAGTTCGAAATAAACAACCCCTTCGTTCTGACTGGCAAAGACGTCTTCGCTGCCGACAACTGTGCGCAGGGCGGCTGCAATTTCGATGGCTTTATCATTAAGGATTTCGAGATCTGTACCGAACAATTTGACGGCAACATCTCCGCGCACGCCGGTCAGCATTTCTGACGTACGCATTTCGATGGGCTGGGTGAAGCCGTAGGCCACGCCCGGGAAACCATCCAGCACCACGCGGATTGCATCAATCAGCTCCGCTTTGGTCGTCATGCGCCATTCTGATTTTGGCCGCAGGACCATGAAGACATCGCTTTCGTTCAGCCCCATTGGGTCCATACCTATTTCGTCTGAGCCAACGCGTGCAACCATGTGCGTGACTTCCGGGACTGCTTTAAGAACCGCTGCCTGAATCCTCAAATCGAGATTAACCGACTCTTCCAGGGTAATGGATGGTAGCTTTTCGAGTTGCACGATGATGTCACCTTCATCCATGGTTGGCATAAATGTTTTGCCGATGAATGAATACGCGAAAAGCGCAGCGATCAGTCCCAGCAGTGCGCCAGACACCATCCATCGTGCATGATCCAGACACCAGCGCAGCGCGGGTTCATACAGGCTCTGAAGTTTGCGAGGCAACCAGGGTTCCTCGTGTTGTGTGTGCGCAAGTAAAAAAGATGCCAGCACTGGAATCACGGTGAAAGACAGCAGCAGCGAGCCAGCCAGTGCAAAAACGATCGCCAGTGCAACCGGGGAAAACAGTTTTCCTTCGAGTCCCTGCAGTGTCAGCAGGGGTAAAAATACAACGATAATAATACCGATGCCGGATGCCACCGGTACAGACACTTCGCGCACCGCTCGATAAATAAGGTGGAGTCGAGGCAGCCGCTGGGATTTCCGGGTATCAGCCAGCTGAGTGGTTATGTTTTCAACCACAACAACGGCGGCATCCACCAGCATGCCAATGGCTATGGCCAGGCCGCCCAGACTCATCAGATTTGCAGACATGCCAAACTGCCGCATCAAGATAAAAGTGATGAGTGCGGCAAGGGGCAAAACCAAGGCAACGGTGAGTGCTGCACGCAGGTTACCCAGGAAAAGGATCAGCAGTGCAATGACCAGCACGGTCGCTTCTGCCAGAGCCTGCGCAACCGTAGTGACGGCGCGTTGCACCAGATCACCGCGATTGTAGAAAACGTTAATGCTCACGCCGACAGGCAATGCGGAGGCGATTTCATCGAGTTTCCTGCGTACGCCTTTAACAACCTCATCTGCGTTTGCGCCTCGTAGACCCAGGACCAGACCCTGTACAGCTTCAGATTGCCCATCCTGGGTAACAGCCCCGTAGCGGGTGATTGCGCCGATTTTAACGTTTGCGACATCACCTATCGTAATGGGAGTGGCATCAATCATCTTGACCACAATGGCGCTGACATCGCTAAGGGTCTTAATGCTGCCTTCAGAACGGATCAATAAGGTTTCTTCACCCTCCTGCAGGCGCCCGGCGCCGTCGTTTCTGTTGTTCTGAGACAGTGCTGCCTCAAGCATCAGCGGATCTACACCTTTTGCTGCCATCCGGACCAGGTCGGGTATCACCTCGAAGCTGCGGACGTAGCCGCCCAGAGAGTTAACATCGGCAACGCCAGGGACAGTGCGGAGCGCTGGCCGGATTACCCAGTCGAGCAGCGTGCGACGTTCTGTCAGACTGATTTCACCATCGACGGTGAACATGAACATTTCCCCCAAGGGGGTTGTCATTGGCGCGAGGCCACCTTCGATGTCGGCCGGAAGGCTATCCCAAACCCCGCTCAGACGTTCAGCAACCTGCTGGCGTGCCCAATAGATATCAGTGCCTTCGGCGAAGTCCACGGTAATATCTGATAGCGCGTATTTGGCGATGGATCGCAGCATTACCTGTTGGGGAATGCCCAGTAGTTCAACCTCAATAGGTGCTGTGATGCGACTTTCCACTTCTTCGGGTGTCATACCAGGTGCCTTCACTATAATCTTCACCTGGGTTGGTGAAACATCTGGAAATGCATCGATAGGCAGCTCGCGAAACGCGTTGTAACCAATCCCTATCAGCAGTGCTGAGAACAGCAGTATCAGGACGCGTTGGGTTAAAGCGAATCCAATCAGTTGTGGCATCATCAGTCTGCGTCTTGCTGGCTGGC